GCAGCAAGATGTAAGGGCTGGCAGGCTAGACTACTCTCACAAGGGGGAAAATCTGTTTTGATTAAATCAGTGCTTCAGACAATGCCCACACACATATTTTATGCTATCAAGCCCCCCAAAGCAGTGGTTAAGCAAATTGAAAGCCTGATAGCTGACTTTTTTTGGGGGAAAATGGAAGGGAAAAAGAAGCACCACTGGAGCTCGTGGAAAACATTGTCACAGCCAACATCTGAGGGGGGAGTAGGGTTCACTGGATTACAGGAAATGATTGATGCAGCTGGAGCTAAGTTGTGGTGGAATTTTAGAAGAGGAGAGTCAATCTGGAGTCAGTTTGTTAAAGCAAAATACTGCAATGAAGTACACCCAGTGGCTAGGGGTTGGAACTATAAGGACTCACATGTTTGGAGGAGGATGGTGGAAGTTAGAGAGAAAGTGGAACCTGAGATTCAATGGGATATAAGGAGGGGGAACCTGAATGTCTGGTGGGACAACTGGTCAGGGAAAGGGGCCCTTGCAATATGGTTAAATAGGAGAGGAAAAAGGAAAGCCAAAGACATGCTAAAAGATGGGTGGATAAATGGAGCTCTAGATTTGAACCACTTTGGGATTCAGGATCAGTCCTTAGCTCAGAACATCAGAATAAGAGAGGGGGCAGATAAGCCAAGGTGGAAGCCAACTGGGGGTGGCTTTAATTTTAAATCTGCAAAGGGTTTGATGAGGCAGCATAGAAATAGAGAAGGAGGCTTGTGGTGCAAGAAGATTTGGAACAAAGGGATTACTTGGAAGATGTCTTTTCTAGCATGGAGAGTTTTTAAAAAGAAATTGCCTGTGGATGATGTGCTAAGAAAAATGGGGTATCAAACAGTCTCTAAATGCCCTTGTTGTGTCAAGCCTGGGTGTGATACACTGCAACATATCTTTGGGATGGGGGACACTGCACATCAAGTTTGGGATTATTTCTCCAGGGCCATGGGAGCTAGAATTCTCATTAGAAGTGAAAGGCATGTATGTTATGAATGGTGGATGATGGCCTTTAAAAACAGGATGTTCAAGTTTATGGCAGACAGGCTCCCTATTCTGATTCTTTGGGAGCTTTGGGTAAATTATACACATTGCAAATATGTTACAAGGATAATTTTTAAGGTGACAAAGGATCTAGCTGAATGCATTCAGAGAAAGTGGCTTGCTTGGGACCCTCTGCCCCCTAATTTTGGATTCATAATGAAAAGAGCTGAAAACTTTGGCTGTGGTAAGATTGTGCAAAGGACAGGTTGGTGTAGACCAAGAAGAGGAAGTGTAAAGGTGAACTGGGCTATAGAAGACAACAGCTGTGGCTTCTTCATCAGAAATTCTAGGGGCATGTTCTGTGTTGCAGGTGTCTACTCTTTTGAGAATGGAGAGGACATACAGGCCGTAGCTAAGAGAATGCTTAGGGATTGTTGGAACTGGGGATGCAGAAATCATATAAGAGATATGTGCTTTGAATCTGATAAGGTGTTGGATTGGGAGTATGCTGACCAGGTCAACTCCAGTAGGACCAATGAAAGGGTTAATGTTGTAGCAAGGTGCCTGACTAGGATGTGTGCAGGGATGTGCATATGGTTTTTGAATGGGTGTGGTCTTCCTAGGGGACTGGACAGAGTTCTAGCTCTTGAAGGGATCCCCCATTTTGTTCTTCTCCCTGGAATGGATGCCTTAAGTAGATGATGTTGGGGGCTCCTGCTAAGTTGAGCAGGAGCCTTGGACTGGTACTGTCCCAATGATGCTCTTGATACTCAAAGACTGAGGGGCAGATCAGTTAGTTTCCATAAGTCCAGGAGGCACCAGATAGGCCCAATGAAGGTATCTGAGGGAGATTGGTGACCTGGCTCTTAGTCAAAAACCCCAATGAAGATCTTGCTAGCCTGGGCAGGTCAGAGGGTGCACAGGCCTGGGGAGCAGATTGATGAGGGCTATGGGCTGAAGTCTGTTCCCCAGAAAGATAATGACCCAATGATGGCTGCTTACTGGGCAGTGCTGAGGGTGAAACAGCATGCTGAGGGTACTAACAGCAACATTGCTGGGCAGATGATTGTTTGGTGGACCTACTTTGGTAGGAATGAAGCCATTGAATTTTGCAGGTAGAGGAAAGCTGAAGATTGGAAGAGTGGATCTCCCGGCTCTTTATATGGACATGAAGGATAAGGATCACAACAAGAAGGGATTCTAGGGTGATTTTCTTCCTTAATGGCTCATTCGGGTTGGTGTTATGAAAGGTGGGGTCTTGATAGGCTCCACGTATAGCACACACTTGGAGTTGGGAGTGTTTTTGGCTTGAATGAATCCTTAGAAAAAAAAAAATTGATTGAGACAAGTGAAAAAGTTAAGAGGGAGTGAGGGAGAAATAAGGATGAATATTGATGAAAAAAGAGCAAGGAATTGATGAATATGAGAAAGGAAAAATGATAAGTTAAAAGAGGGAAGGGAGTGAAGGAGATAAGCCATTGCTTAGGTCGGGGTTGTAAAGGCTCCCCGGGCAAAACACGGTACGCCGTGTCGCGGGAGCTGACCTTGGGCCTAAGGGTGGCTGGGGAGGGAGCCATTGCTCATGTCGGAACCTCAAAAGCTCCCCCCGGGTAAGACATAGTACGCTATGCCGTGGGGAGTTGGTCTTGGGCATGAGGGTGGATGAGGTGAGTGCTATTGCTCAAGTCGGGACCTTCAAAGTCCCCCCGGATAAAAGCACGGTGCGCCGTGCCGGAGGGGATTGGACTTTGGCTTGAGAGTAGCAGGGTTAGATTGGATTCATAAAGCCTAGGCATCGTTCCCATCACTTGCGTGGGACGGGGAGCCTATCAATGACTATGGTATGTGGATGTTTGGAGAATAGTGAGTCTTTAAGGGGGAAACTCACTTAGTGGGTCTCTTTTAGTTGTAGGCCTTGGCCTTTTTACATGTCTTAGTTTAGGAGCTGGGAGCTCTAGAATTTCATTTGGAGGGGTGACCACTTTTGGGTCACCCCTTGTGGTGTATATATTTAGTTCGGCCGAATGGCCTTTAGACTCATTTGAGCCATAGCCCACTTTTGGGGCTATGACGTTTGATTGTAGACGCTTGGTTTTGGATGAAATAAATGTACAGCTTTATTAAAAAAAAAAAAAAAGGTTTATGTCATGGGTTCAAATCTCATTAGCAACACTTTTAATTATCTTCTCTCTTTCATTTTTTCACAAGATAAATTAAATATTCTTAGTCTACTTTTTATGAATCATTTAATTAACAATAAATTCAATGTTCTTTTAGCAATTACTTTAGCAATGGGTCTTAAATCACCCATAGTGTTTGGAATTGTTTTCTTCCAGGTTAACACCAGTTGGGTACAATTGAGCCCTTGAGGAAGCTTACCAGACAAACGCAAATTATGTCCTGCATTGTGAAAACGAGTCCAAAACGATGTCGTTTTCAGGAAAAACACGTCATTCCAGTTTAAAAAAATATAATTAATTTTGTCTCGCCGTTAACGGCGTTATTCGTTTGTGCCATTATGAATGTACAGTTATGGGATTACGAATGTACAGTTATGAAATTATGAATGTAAGTTATAAAATTATGAACACAGAGCTCTGACATTATGAACTTACAATTATGAACATATAGTGATAAAATTATGAACATAAAACTCTAAAATTGTGAATATGGAGCTTCGAAAATTATGAATTTACAGTTATTGAATTATGAATGTACAGTTATGGAATTATGAGTGTACAGTTATGCAATTATGAATGTACTGTTATGGAATTATGAATGTACAATTATGAAATTATGAACACAGAGCTCTGACATTATAAACTTACAATATGAACATATAGTGATAAAATTATGAACATAGAGCTCTAAAATTGTGAACATAGAGTTTCAAAAATTATGAATTTACAGTTATTGAATTATGAATGTATAGTTACAGAATTATGAATGTACAGTTATGCAATTATGAATGTATAGTTATGCAATTATGAACACAGAACTCTGACATTATGAACTTACAATTATAAACATATAGTGATAAAATTATGAACATATACTCCTATAACAAAGTGATCCGAACTTTAAAAAAAAAAAAAAAAAAAAAAAAAGTGAAAGCGAACAGTTCCAGTAACGTACCGTTATTGTGTCCAGCGTGCATGTTGGACACGGTTCCATAACATAATAATTGCCAGACAGATTGAGGTCAGAACATAGCTTCACAATATCGATCACCACATAGAATCTCCCAAAAAGCTAAGCTTGATAAAATCCTAGAAATAGTTTTATATAACCAATGACTCTCTCTCATTCTTTGACTAACTCTTTATAATCTGATGCGATATTACTAGAAAATAGAAATAGTTTTATATGAAATACTCCGTAATATTTTATATTACCTTTCATGCTCTTACCATTATCTTCTCGGATTCATACCTCGTGGTCTTAGTCCCATGCAACCACATGGGATCATATTCGCCTCTCATAAATGGACCAACAATTTTTTAAAATATCCGTCTGCCAGTCTGCAGATTGACTTATTGGTGATGAAAAGGTTTTGTCAGCATTAGGCTTTGTTTATCCCTCTCGGGTGGACCCTAAGCTAGACCAAGTATTTAGAAAGAGATCTGTTCACTTTGAGTATAATCTTTACACTGTTATTGTCAAAGGTTGAAGCTTGATCTCTTCTTTTAATTATTGAACCAGTAAATTAAGTTAGTTAGTGATTTTCACATTAACAATGATATATGTGTTATTTTAATAACTTACTCTACAATGCATAGGTAATGAAAAAGACAAAATTATTGTAAAAGCATAAGATCGAGGAGCATTATAAACTATAAAGTAAGTTAATAGTGGAGGCTAGTGCAATATAATAATCATTGAAAAAAAAATTCAATTGCTCAATAATTATAGAAAAAAGTGAAAATAATAGTTAGTGATTGTTTTGTGTAGTGCGAATATTTAAAGACAAAGAAATTGGGTCTGGTGCTAAGTTGAACCTACCTGCAACTCTTTTTCGTAGAGCTAGTGGAGAAAAATATGGACCCAATCTTAATAGGAGCTTGCATAATCTTGGCTTCCCTTTTAATTCTATCTGCTTCAGGTTTGATTCAAAGCAAAGGCAAAAAAAGATCCCGGAATCTGCCTCCGGGCAGCTACGGATGGCCGGTGGTCGGAGAGTCACTGGAGTTCCTGAGGAGAAACCGGGAAGGGAAGCCGGAGAAGTTTGTGACGGACAGGGTGAGCAAGTACAAGTCGGAGGTGTTCAAGACTTGTTTGCTAGGGGAGGCGGTGGTGGTGCTAAGCGGCCCCGCCGGGAACAAGTTCCTGTACAGCAATGGGAACAAGGTGGTGACGACGTGGTGGCCGACGTCGGTGCAAAGGCTGCTCGGAACTTGTTTAACGACGAGTGTAGGAGATGAAGCGAAGCAGATGAGGAAGCTGATGGCCTACTTTGTCAGCCCGGATGCACTGGACAAGCTCTACATCAAAACCATGGATTTTGTCACTCAACACCATATTAAGAATCATTGGCAAGGTATATAATTATATTGTTAGTGTTAGATCCAATGCTTACCACATCAAAAGCAATAGCTAGTAGCTAAAGTAAAATGGCCTTTTAAGCTCTTTATGGCCTAGCCCTGTCAAATAATCCCCTAGTCATCCGGTGTAATAGGTGGTGGATTTGGCCCGACCAAACAATCTCTCAATCACGGAGTCATTGGGAGTTGGATTTGGCATACGATAGCTAGTAGTGAACGCATAATGGCCTATGGCCTTTTAGTAGCCTTTTAGGCCCTTTACAGTCCCGTCAAACAATCCCCACCTCTGCCCAACAATCTCCCGCCGGGATGTTGGGTGCAGAACCACAACTTGGCCTCCGTAGGTGTTGGACTTGGCATACGATAGCTAGTAGCAAAGGCATAATGGCTTTTTGGACTTGTATACGATAGTTAGTAGCGAAGGCATAATGACTTTTTAGTAGCCTTTTACTCTCCACCGCTGCCCAACCATTTGGCGAGATGGCCATTGAGTGCTAGATGAGTGTTAGATTTGGCCGTCCCCTTAGTCTCATTTTAGATGGTGCCTCTGCCCAACAATCCCCCAGCCATCAATCTCCACCTCTGCCCAACCTCGGCCCAACAATCCCCCAGCCATCAATCTCCACCTCTGCCCAACCTCTGCCGGGATGGCCATCGAGTGAGTGCTAGATGAGTGCTAGATTTAGCCGGCCTTTATCAACCTTAGTCTCATTTTAGATGGTGCCTCTGCCCAACAATCCCCCAGCCATCGAGTGTTAGATTTGGCCAGCCTTTATCAACCTTAGTCTCATTCTACAACAGTTATTCTTTCTGTTCCATTTTTCTTTGTCATGGGTCAAGATAGTTCTACTGGGTTATAATACACAGGACTAAATTATACTAAAGGATAGACTTCAATCAATTAACTAGTCCTTTTATAAACTTGTATGTTTTATTTTATATTTTAAGTGTGGGACTCTAAATTAAACTAGATAAGTACCCTCCAATTATATATCATCCTTGCTAAAAAACAAGGTTTCCTGTTTGATTCTGTTAAGGAAAAGAGGAGTTGAAGGTGTTACCTGCTGTGAAGTTGTACACTTTTGAACTAGCTTGCCGGTTTTTCATTAGCGTTGAAGATCCAGAGCATATCAAGAAGCTTTCTAGGCTGTTCAACATTTTCCTCAGGGGAGTCATATCGCTGCCTGTGAACATTCCCGGGACAAAATTTTACCGTGCAATGAGAGCTACTGCTGTGATCAGGGAAGAGCTTCTGAGGATTGTCAGACACAGAAGAGAAGCCCTCATGAACAACAACAACAATAATAATAGGCATGATCTTCTGTCACATCTGCTTGTCACGCCCGACGAGAATGGGAGTTTCATGTCGGAGCTGCATATCGTGAACAATATAATCATGCTGCTCTTTGCTAGCCACGACACTTCCACCGTCACTATTACTCTGTTGATCAAGACACTCGGGGACCTGCCTCATGTTTATGAAAAGGTCCTGCAAGGTAAGAACAAGGAATTGAATGCCATTTTCGCCCCATGGGATTAATTTACTGGTTCAGTAAGCTGTATTTGGGAGGAGAGATCAAGATTCGAACCTTGACACTAGCTGTATGAGAATTATGCCCAAAGTGGACAAATTCCTTGTGCACACCGGCATTTAGCCCTGTCGGACTGGGGTGTGGGGTGAGAATTATGCCCAAAGTGGGCAGATTCCTTGTGCGCACCGACATTTAGCCCTGTCGAATTAAGGTGTGGTGTGAAGATTATGTCCAGGACAGATTCCTTGTGTGCATTGACATTTGATCGTGTCGGGACAAGGTGTGGAGGCACTTGGGGTTGGGGATTCAACTTTTTGGGAAAAGGAATTGAATACCATTTAATTTAAAGCTATAGTCATCCGCCCAACAATCCCCGTCTTGAAAGGGCAACTTTATTTTTTTTATAGACCACCATTACATTT